TAGCACATCACTCCCTTTAGTTTGCCCCTTCAGAGAACTGAGGCACTAATGCACTAATGTTCTTTATACATTTCAAAACGTTGTAGTCCTTCCAAAACTCTCGAGCGTTTTCTCACCTTCAGTAGCAGCAACAGCCTGAGCGGTCGTACGTAAATAATTAGCTTTAAAAGCTGCAATAGCACCTTGATCCATGGGTTGGATGACAGAGGTAGTGTTAGGTGGAATGTAGACTACCTTAACATCAGGGTGCATGTCGTCCAGGTATGGTGGGTGTCCCGGAGCATTATCCAAAATTAACAAAATCTTGAAGGCAATCCCTTGTTGCAGACAATACTCCTTGGCTCGAGGAATGAAACAAGTCATGAACCAATCCTCAAACAGTACTAGGGTCATCCAGGCTTTCTTGTTACTTCGATAAAACACTGGCAGTGTGTGCTTGCTGACATGTTTAAAAGCCCTTGGGTTCTCTGAATGATAGATCATGAAGGGCTTTATCTTGAAACCAGCTACATTCCCCCCAACAGAAGTGTAATTTGGTCCTTGAATGCCTTGAATCCTGGCATTGTTTTCGCCTCTTTGTGGATGTATGTCCGTTCAGGCATGCGCTTCCATAATAATCCAGTTTCATCCACACTGAATATTTGCTCAGGCAAATAATTTCCCTCCACGATCTAGCTCCTCCTTAAAAGCTTCGGTAGCACCAACATCAGCACTAGCAGCCTCTCCACTCACCTTTACATTATGTAAACTGTAGCGGTTCTTAAATCTGTTAAACCACCCATGACTTGCTCTGAAGATTTGGTCGCACTCATCTCCTGCCTGCTCCTTCAGGCTTTCGAAAAGGCTTCTTGCCTTAGCCTGTAGGGTTAGAAGGCTAAAGGGTACACGCTTTTGTATCTGGTCTTCCATCCATATCACAAGTAATTTTTCCATCTTATGAATGGGACAGTGTCTTTTTTTCGTTATTATAGTTCCCTTTATAGGTGCTGATCCTTTCACTACCTCACGAATATGTTCCTTGTCCTTCAAAATAGTAGATATGGTCAAGTGCGAGAAGCCTAGGTCGCGTGAAATGGTTGCTACAGTTTTCCATTTTCATACTGCATTATTATCTTCATTTTCGTCTCAAAAGTAATTGACTGTCCCCTTTTCTTCTGAGCACCACCAGCACTCTCACTTCTACACTTTCCAGTCATTCTAAAGTGAATTAGATACGAAAATAATGTCAGTACACAGCGTGATCAGTTGCGGATACGACAGCCACGAGGCGACCCAAGCCACGCGACGCTCTAGTACGGGACGGAAACATTTCGGTCTAGAAAATACTCGTGTCATTTGAAAAAGATTTTGGTACCAATTGCGGCGGTCGTATGTGCGGGTGATCGTTGGTCAAGTAGGTCGTAAGTCAGGGAGTTGCTGTATTCTCCTTACAAATGACCACACAACTTTGACAAGTCAAACAATTGATTTTCTTTGCACTGTTTTCTACAAAGAAATAGTTATACCTGTAGGTCCATATTTCTTGAAACTTTCTGTTCTCAACCTCAAGTTTTCTCTTCCATGATGTATTTTTTCCAGTCGACTTACTAGCCATTGTGAGGGGTGAAAAAATATTCAATAATGCTCCAATAATGGTAATTGTCTCAACCGAGTGCCAGGGGATATTGTTTCAGCCAATCAATCAAGCACCTCAACTGAGTCCCAGCTAAAACTGCTGGAGTTCGTCGTATGTACCGTATGAGTGGTAGTGATGCCATAATTCTCCTTATTTTTATTAGCAAATTGTTTATGAACCATATAGTTTTCTCATTCATTTCTATAGGTTTCTCATGGATAAAAGTTAGATATGTTGAGGAAGACATAATACTGAGATAAAATCAACATAACTGGCTTAGTGGCAACAGTGCTCTCGCCTAGACAGCCTGGCTCTCCGATCGACACATTCACTTCCCGTCCAGCTTTGGACCTGCTGCTGACTATGATCTCCAAACTGTTACCGTCAATTTGAAATTGTTATTACCTTTCAGTAAAATGCAATGCAAAAATGAAAGACAAATAAGCTTTTGAGTATAGCTGGTAAAAATTGAAAGTTTAACTGAGTGAAGGTAGAGATTGTTCCCACTGCCTCAATCCCAGTTTTATTTCATATTAATTTTGAATTTGAATAAGTCACCAAGGGCCGCATCAGAGCTACTGGAGGACCGCATACGGCCCATGGGCCACAGATTGTGCATCCCTGCTGTACAGTATATGTTCATTACTGATACGTTGACAAATCCGATTACATGGCAAGGCCTCAGCCCCACATGTACCAAGTTAAAAGGGTTTGTAAGATGTACCATTTTTTTCTTTTATAAAGTAAATTTTAATATTATCTGAATATGATAATTCAAGTATTTTTCATTTGTTGTACCACAATTTCTTTATAAGCAAGTCCTACCCACGATTACTGCACTGTACAGTATTATCAATATTACTTTGAAAAGCCAGTGCAAATATTATCTCTATTTTTTATATAAGGTACAGTATGTCATTGATATTTTTTATACTTTGTTCATTAATAACATACAATTAATCTCAGAAATATAGTACAAAAAAATACAGAAACTGATAAAGATGTGGAAATGAAAAATGTGTTTGGCAGAGAGTTGACCACAGTTTTTAAGATGGAAAGATAAATACAGTATTGGTGAAAAAGAAAAGTGGATAATTCAGAATATAGTAGGCTGGAGAGAGGAAGGTCAAGAAGATGGAAGGATGGGGTGAAGGAAGTACAGTACAGGTACTAGATGTGAGGGGGGGATGATCATCCAGAAATCAGAAGATTATCAATAAAAGGTGAGTATGGCATCATGTGGTTCATGAGGACATAACAGCAGGTTGAGTGAAGAAGAGTGAAAGAAGAATCTGGTTTTTATTCTTGACTCCAACTATTCTGCATTGGTGAAAGCCGTAGAAATGTGGAAAAAAACAACTAACAGTATAGTAATGGAAGCTTTTAAAGTATAATAATTAATGAGAGACCTGCTAATTATCTGAAATAGGTTATATCTTCACATATATTACACTTAAAATTAAAATATAATCTTTTCTCATTCAGGTCACCTTTACTAACCTGACTGTAACAAGCAAATATCCTGTGAGAGCGTACAGGGCTGAAGAACATGAATGGCACGGGGATCTCAATGATGAAAGTGGCAACTACACACAGCTTGTGCCACCAACCCGGCAGCTGGTAGAAGAACCACGCCAATGCGGTTGGGATACACTGGGACTCATAGTGGAGAGGCAGTGCTGTGGAACAATTGAAAATAAATATAAGTAAAGAAGGTACAGTGTTCAGAATAAAATTACAGATTTGTATTTAGGGTGTAGCATATTTCTTATGTGTCTATTACCTGTCCTCTACTCCCACTTTTGCTTAAAGTGGATTAGGAGCAATACGTAACTGAAACGGTAGCGGCAACAG